ACTAACAATTCTCTTACAGATTTTGGCACAAAGGGGTGAGCCACGACCCATTCTTGCTTGCAAAGACTGAGGCTTTGACGGATTGTACTTTTACATTCAATCATTATACCTCCTCTGCTACCAATTAGCCTGCTTAATGTGGAGTCTTCGAAACTGGTGTTACTGGAATATTCGGTGCACTTTTCTTGAGTGTGCTGCAGCTTTGCATATATTTACAAAATACAATTGAGTTGGTCAGTACAAGTGTTCAAATTAAAAATTAAAATTTTTTCTTTGTACTCCTCTCAGTTAAATAAAGATTTACATGAATTAATGAGTCACAGATTTTTGTTTTCATTGCATTTTAAAAAATGTCCCAACTTTTTAGGAAATTTAAGCTGGGTATAAAGGTACAACTCAATCCACTACCTCCACCACATCAACTATCCCCCTTCATCCATTTATCTCTCCATAGTATTAATAGTTGCGACCTGTTTCCGTACCGGTTCCCATGATTCCATGTATGTACAGTATATGATCCAGTCAATCCCCAAAACCCGCTTTGAGAGGAATTATCTGTATGAGGTATTACTGAGCACACTATTATCTTCCTGTTCTTTTCCAAATGCTTGTATCTCCTCTGTGATCCTATGATATATGTTGTTGGGGGCAATTGCCCCTGGTAGGCTCTCCCATGGTGAGAGACCCCAGGCAGGGTTGGGTCTTCACCCGGATGAAGAGAGGGTCACCTCCCTTTAACTTCGGGTTGAGGGATGGGATCTGACTGTTGTCTGTATGTACTCACTGAACACCAGTTCAGAGTATACAGCCTTCTTGGAGACCTTGGATGCAGTACTGGATGACACCCCTACTGGGGACTCCATTGTTCTACTGGACAGCCACAGGTTCGATAAGCAGGTTGCAGTGAGCACAAACAAATCTGTAATGTAATACAAATCCAAAGTTCAAGAACAGGCAGAAGTGTGTTAGGACAAAAAGCGAATGCAATCTATGACCCTAAACAGCAAAAAACCAGGAGAGGAATCAGGAGTCATTCATAGGCATCAGATCAAGAAACAGCCATTCAGTTGGGTCAAACACTCAGTATTTCACAAACGTACATAATAACATGCATGTTTGATGTATTCCATAAGTGTTGGGAATAACGTGGTTGACGTGCTTTACTGCTTTCTGGCCGGTTTATTGATAGCATGACCATTTGCGTTGGAACAGTCAGTTGACCAATTTGCAAAGCAGATACAAAACAACTATGACTGGGGTGGTAATAATTCTGCCTGAATATCCTAAATCAGAACACGCCAACCTCCAGCACCATCACTGAATCTCCATTGGAAATGCACCTCCTTGAGGTGGAGCCAGAGTAGAAGCGACAAGAATATCTGGTGCAGGTCCTAGTTTTCTTGAGTTATTCATCAACCTGAACATCTAGTGCCTCACAATAACTCGCAGAACGAGGCTGTAGAAGAAGTAGAGGTGGATCAGCTGGAACTGCAATCCTTGTGGGCTGGAGCACCCAAGCCGGGAGGGAACCATCCAAGTGTCTGAATCTCCAGCAGGTTTTGACGTGAGTAAGTATATTCATTTGGTGCCTCCATTCTGAGATACTGAAGCTGACTCATATTTCGATTCCTTTGAGTACATTGCTTGAACCCCGCAGTTGCCCAAGGAGATCTGGGGCCCTATTATCCACTGGCAGAAAGTGCAATACAAAGTGATTTTGCTAGTTTCTTACCAGCACATTGCTCATTTTCATGCCACGCACACACATTGTCAAAATAGCGAATGATTTTCCCACTTCTAGGAGTAGAGTTTTTTAAATGAGGTGTGGCCAGGCACATTGTAGACGCTATTTTATGACAGCACAATGTCATTGTCCTTTTGACCAGCAAAAACCATGTCAAAAGTCAGCGGTGCATCGTTGAATGGTATTTAAGCAACATGATTTAGAAACGTGCGAGTGCACGACGCTGGTTATGGACACAGGTACGACCTTGAGGTGCACTAATATATTTTTTATTTTTATTTTATTTATATATTTTATTATAGAGTAGTTCTTGTCCTTTCATGTAATAATACTGTTTAATACTGCTTATGTTATTATGTAATGAATAGGGGTGTAACAATACATCGATTTGTATCGATATATCGATTCAACAGAAAACGATCCGATGCATCGATGTGACCGCATAAATATCGATACATGCGTTTTTATTTTCTGGCCTGTTCCAGTATTGTTTTCATGATCCACTCCGACGTATACATGGTCTACACCAGGGGTGCCCAATACGTCGATCGCAATCTACTGGTCGATCGCAAAGGTAGTGTGGGTAGATCGTATGGCATAAAAAATAGAGGATGGATGACGTGTTCAACCGCGCCAGCTGCTGTAAGCTACTGAGTCGCCTAGTTAGCCTCCAATTTATTTCTACTAAACTTAAGAAAGGGTATAAAAATGAATGGGGGAGATGGACCAAGTAAGAAGCCTTCAGCACACAAGAGGGTCATACGAGCAGCTCATGACAGTTATGGACATACTTTTTGTTACACTTTTGTATTTGTCTGGAGAAGACTTGATTCAAAATAAAAATTATTCACCATGTTAATCTACATCCATCCAAAGTTTTTATTTTTACCTTATTGCTCTTTATTTTGCTTGATTTATGGGACATGCTAATTATATACTAAATATG